TAATAAAGAGCTAATATGCTAATTAGACCGGACAGCAGAACGTCCTTCCAGAACAACCAGTGGGCAGGGGGCGGGGGCAGCGAGCCTATGCTACTAGGCTAGCTATGTCCCGGTGCGCCCCCTTCCACAGAGGTGGCGGGAGAGGTGGCAGCATGGGCCCGGTCCTGGCGCCACCCCTTCTGCAAAGGCGGTGGGAGAGGGGACAGCATGGTCCCCGTGCCTCCGCAGAGGCGGGACGGGACTGTGGCGCTTCAACCTCCCTCGGCCACTCCCCCAGCCAACCCGGTGCCCACACCCCACACCAGTGGGCAGGGTGCGGGGCCAGCTCTAAGGAGCAGTGAGCCCAGCTTCTGGTTGAGCGGTGCTCCCCGCTGCTCAGCCAGAAGCCGGGCTCACAGCTGGCGAGAGCAGGGGCGATAGCGGGAGCCTCTCCCGCCTCCACAGCAGGCGGGTGGTAAGGAGCAAGGGGTCCTGGACTGAGAGAGCCCTGGAATGTGAGAGGGATGTCTGAGTGCCAGCTTAGGCCCGATCCCTAGGGGAATCGGGCCTAAGCCCACAGGCGGACATCCCCCAAGGGGTCCTGGACTGCGAGAGGGTGCAGGCCAGGCTGAGGGGGACTCCCCTCCCCCAGTGCATGCATTTCATGCACCGGGCCTCTAAAATATATATATATATATATTAAGTACTTTGAACATTTGGCATATAATAAGCACTATATAAGTATTAGGTGATATTAATATTATTTGGTTAAGAATTTTAACAAAGACAAGCTAAAACTATCTTATGCTTTAAAAAGAATGTTCATTTCATTAGAGAAATAACTTATTTTCACACACTTTCCATTTTTATAAAAACAAGAATTACATTAAAGTATACAATGCAACTGCATTCAAATATAAAATACAGGGTGGGGCAAATGTAGATTTACAGTTGTTCATATGGGAAATAATACAATAATTAATAAGTAATAATACAAGAATACAGTCTGTGTTTCATGTACTCACAACTGTAAATCTACTTTGTCCCACCCTGTATAGTCTCACATACCTGTTTGGAATACAAGTTCTTTCCCTCCTACACCTGCTGCCTCCAGGTTAATAAATGCACGAATTGAGTTGGCCCAGGAGTGCTGAGTAATGAAACCATGACTGGCCTGAATGAGAAAGAAAGAAAACAAATATACGTTAAACAATTTGAGATTATCAAAGTCTCTATTTTGGTTATTTTAAAGACAGAACGTCTATGTTGACAAGGGGAAGAACAGGAAAACAATCATTTTTTTCAAAGGCAATATATCTAAAGACACACATCTGTTTCTCTCTCAATGCATAATGGCTGTGTGCAGTTTGCTGAGTGGAAAGTCACCACCACAGAAAACATCCTGGTTTCCGTGAGTGGCGCCAAACAACATCCTCAGTAAGTGTGAGGCTACGCAAAGGAAAGAACAAAAAACAAACAAATGTGAGAAGGGACGATCCCCATGGCTGGGTACTCATGCTGTGTGCCTGCCTCAAAACACCTCCGAAACTCCAGTCAAAGAAAACCTGAGGTGATAATTATGCCATCACACTGACATGAATCAAACTCTGACAAGATGACCTGTTCTAAGTTGAGTTTTCAAATGCTGAACATCCTATATAATAATAGCATAGTATGCAAATTGTCCCCTTGACCAGGAGTTGTCCGGGAGTTCGACCAGGGGGCGGGGCTGGCTGGGGAAAGGGGGGGAGGCCCTGGCTGGCGGCAGCAGGCGACCAGGGGAAGGGAGGGAATACTCAGCCGGTGGCCAGCAGCCAGCAGCCACTAGGGACCCTTCCAGTGCATGAATTTCGTGCACTGGGCCTCTCATGTGTGTGTATATATAAGTGACTAGAATTTTTATAGTACTTCCAGGTACAATATTTCTTCTGTATATGATTTTATGATAAATGCATAAGTTATTATTATAACTATCATTATTATCCAAGCCTAGTACTTACAACAGTAAAATCTCACCTGCAAAACATTTTCCTCAGCACCATTAAAGAGAAATATGACAGCATGATGCAAGGCTTCTGAAGACGTTGACAAGACATGGAGGACTTCCAGCATCACCGAACAGCTAACAGCATCATCACTGGCACCTTTAAATACAAAAAGCAGACTTGCTCCTCAGATTTTAAAATCTTTACGGTATGAAGCAGCAGGGCAAGGAATGGGGTTTTCTCGCCAGGGAGCATCACACAGCTACAAGACCAGAAGCACAGCCCCGCCTGTCACCATCAGGTGACAAGCATACCCACCAGCAGTAAACGCCACAAGAACAGGGATCTTTGTCTGGTTTGCTGGCTGACTTAATCTCAATGTCTAGACCTATACCTAGGCCAGAGTATTAATGTCTGTTGAATAACCAACCAGATTGGACCTAAATTAATACTAAAATCTGGCATTCTCTGCTCTAGCTGGCGTGGCTCAGTTGGTTGTAGCATCATCCTATACAAAGAAAGGTCAAAGGTTTGATTCCCCGTCAGGGCACAACCCAGGTTTCTGTTCCATCCTGGTCGGGGCGCCTGCAGGAAACAACCAATCAATGCTCACTCGCACACAGATGTTCCTCTCTTTCTCCATCTCCCTCCTCTCTCTCTAAAATCAATAAAAGCATGTCCTCGGGTGAGGATTAAAATAAAATAAAATCTGATATTCTCATCAACCCCAAGTACTTTATTCCCTTCTTTATCCTTATTCCACATCCTCTATAATATTCTCACTCCTAGTGCTCACAGCTTCCTAGATCATCTCCCCCTGCCACCCACTCCTTTCCTGCCTGTTTTCCTGCCAAAATCATAAAATCTTCAGATCACTCGCATTTACAGAGGGGTCAGTTGGGATGGTGTAGCATTTTTTAAGATTTCCTCAAGGAGATGTGATAAAAAAAAAAAAGAAGTACACAGAAGACACCAAATCTAATAAGACAGGAAAAGAGACTAATGAATTGAGTAGTATCCCTAGTCCCAACACTGATAAAGCAGAGGACTTCATCAAATTACTTCACTACTTGATTCAGAAGCTTTACGTATTAATTAAAGGTGACTATAAAGATGGCTTTAGTGCCTTGATTTTTTTAAAGCACTATAAGAGGTAAAGTAACTGATTAGACACTTGATGATATTAAGGAATTATTTTTTTTTTAATGAGGTAATTCATAGTATTATGAGGATGTCAAAAAAGAATCCTTATCTTTCAGTGATTTAGACTGAAATACAGAGAAACCGATACAGCCGAGATCTGCTTCAAAATAATTAAGAGTGGCAGGGGTGGAGGTAAAGAAACAAGATCAGACTGTCAAAGCTGGGTGACATTAAACAGGTTCATTAAGCAATTCTGTTTTTACACATATTTGAAATTTTCCATAATAAAAAGTTTAAAGAGTAATCGAAGTAAATACGCACAGTAATAAGCCAGACAATAGCATCTTCAGGTTCACCCACTGGGAGACAGAGCACTTACAGAGTTTAGCATGGGTTTTGCTCTGTTTTTCAATTCTTACCAAAGGGACATGCTTGGAGGGAGAAAGGGAGGGAAACATAGTTGTGTGAGAGAAACAGCGATCTGTTGCCTTCCATACGTGTGCACAGGACGACGCTCAACCAACTGAGCTACCCTGGCTGGGCAATTCAGTATGGGTGTTAAAGTAAGAAAGACTTGGAAATAAATTCTAGCTCTGTCGTTCACCCTACAACTTCCTGGTCTAGAGAGCAGGCTAATGATCTCTACCTCACAGCTGTGTTGTGAGGATTACAAAATAATGTGGCCTGCATTCAGTGTTAGGCTTTCCTTCTCTTTGCAAACTTAAGGCAGGCTCTGCAGCTAGCTAAAAAGCTTGTTGTGGGGTCATTAAATTCCAGACTCCACTCCTACTCAAGAAGAAACTACTTATTACCTACTATTACTTGTCTTGGCAGTGAATACTGAATTGCATTTTAAATCCAAGTGAAACTAAGTAATAACTACCTAACTGCTATCAAACCAGAAGTCTATGTAGCAGTCAGTAAAAAGTGCCACCTTCCAGGACCCAAATGAAAGTAATGGTTTTTACACTCTGAGACTGTGAGTTACTTTAAAATAAAAATCAAGCCATAAAAATGTTCTTTATTCAAAGAGAAAGGGAAACTGAAAGAGACATATCTATAAAGGGTTGATTTAAAAGTTAAACTGTCCATTTATCTTCCTTCATTTTAATAGTTCTGTTGTCTGAGAACAGAACCAAAGAGGGTCAAATATCTTTAAGAAAGTGAAGGCAAGTTAGAGAGCAGTATCTATAACGGCTGAGTGGATAACCAACATCTCTTTCTATTTAGAATTAACCCAGAAATTGAAGCCACTCCTAAAATAACTCAATGTCTCTTCTACCAACAACCTGGAACCATGCAGCAAACCCAAGAAGACATTTAAGTCCTTTCTGTGGGTAACATTACTTCTAATTGGTAACGATCCCGAAGGTCCAGATATGTTGCTGAGAACAACTTAAAAGAATGCCCATGTTTCAAATAGTTCACCCACTGAAAGGATGTAGGTGATCATCTATTTTATGAGTGTGTTTTTTAAAACTATTTTTAACAATCTATTATTGACAGAAACGTCCTTGGGACCGTTGGTATAGATGATCTTATAAAATTTTAATTTAAAATGAGTTCCAATGACTCACAAAAATGCCATCCTTTCATTATTGGACTCCATATATATAATTTATAACATTTGGCACTATGTTTCTGATACTTGTATGCACATCTTTTTTTATATAAGGCTCTTAAATAACTTGATGTTAATTTGTCCCTTCCTAGAATTTAAGCATAATAGTGGGGACAAGGTGACACTTATTACTGCTTTGAAACAGGCATAAAAGACCACTGGTTTCTATGGCGCACACAAAGATATTTCTGACTTTATAAAAACAAATGGGTATATACTGACTTTTTTAACATTTGAAAAAATACTTGATAGAAACAAGACAATTCCATAATAAACATGTCATTGGGACATTGTGCCAATATGGAAGTGAGGGTTGATGTCCATTTCTTCTCGTGCTACAAATGCATATGAATCTCTCCTACCCTAAGCAATTCACATTGGTCCTGCTGACCTCTCTATTGACAGCCAATAATTCACCTTTTTTCACCAGATCATTCTGTACTCAATGTGCTCAACTGTTTGGTTGAAAACTCAAAAAAAATTTTTTTCAAATCTAGTTGCTTTTACCATGTAAACTTCTTGGAAATATATGTTTTTTTAAAAAGTATGTTACAGCCTAGCCAGTATGGCTCAGTGGTTGAGTATGACCCATGAACCAAGAGGTCACCAGTTCGATTCCTGGTCAGAGCACATGCCCAGGTTGCTGGCTTGATCCCCAGTTGGGCGGGGGCGGGGGTGCAGGAGACAGCCAATCGATATTCATTGATGTTTCTATCTCTCTATCCCTCTTCCTTCCATTCTCTCTCTCTCTAATAAAAAAAAAAATCAATAAAAACATTAAATTTAAAAAGCATGCTACATTCTAAATGCAATTGGCAGGCTTCCTGATTAAAGATGTCCTAGGATGAATCAAGCAAATAAATGTTATTTTATATTTTGTGTAGTTCTAGATTACCCTATTGGGCCTGCTGTAGGTTCAAGCAACCCAGAAATGTTAATATTAAATAACAATAGTGGGGGAAATGCTAATAGAAAAGCACTATTATCTCCACTTCACAGATCAGAAACTGAGGAGAGAAGAGGTTAAGTAGATTGCCAAAGGGAGCATTACCTCTCCTTCCTTTCAAAGCAGATGAAAGGACTGGCCAGGAAACCCAGCAACTGGTCCTACCTCTGTCTCTGATCAGTGTTGTGTCAAATGAAGGGCGGAGGGAGGCAGAGTTTGTACCAGATGCCATCTCAGGTCTTGTCTACTTCTAACCTGCTATGATTCCATTGTAAAACGCTACACTTTTCTATTCCTCCCTGCTTACAATCTCTTTCACAATCACTAAAAACATTTTTCTCATGAATCTTACATTTTTAAATGAAAGTTCAATTTAGGGGATTCTCATTCATTCAAAATATTGTGTCAGGCACTGTTGTAAAATCAAGTATCCTATTTTGACAAAGTATTTCCAGAGGAAGATTTATGGATTAATGAGGTATTCTAACAGAATGGCATCCCCAGTGGGCTGTCACTTTACGGGTTGACAGAAACTGCTAGGAAAGATGTCCTCCAAACCCTGAGTCTCTGAAGGCAAGGACTGCTCCTTTATCCCATGTCCCCAAAGCTTAGTATAATACCTAGGTGAGTAAACACTTGAAGAGGCAGAACCTAACTCCAGGACTCAAGGACACATACTGGTAACACTGATAAAGCTGCTTTAGTCTACCACCAACATGCCATGTCCTGTCCTTGGGCTGCTGGCACTAATCTCTATATATAAAAGCCTAAGCGACCATTTGACTGGTAGCTATGATGCGCACTGACCACCAGGGGGCAGACGCTCAACACAACAGACATGGAAACATGGAACAGACTGATGATTCTCAGAGTGAAGTGGGGAAGGAGGAGGGTGGGAAGAGATTAACCAAAAGATCTTATATGCATACTAGAGGCCAGCCTGGCCTGCAGGGATGGGGCCGAAACCGGCCCAGTGCACAGATTCATGCAACCGTGGGGTCCTTCCACCTGGCCTGTGGGGATCGGGCCGAATCCACGCACCTGGCCTCTGACATCCCCCAAGGGATCCTGGATTGCGAGAGGGCACAGGCCAGGCTGAGGGACCCCACCAGTACACAAATCCATGCACTGGGCCTCTAGTGTTTAATAATAATAACAATAAAGCACTTGAGAGAATAGTGAGGGGTTAGATCTTAAACTAAATGACACTATTCTAATTATCCTACCTGCCAAAACTAAAAAGGTTTGTCCAAGAAAATGATATTCCAGAACTGCCAAGCAGCTTGGCATTCATAAGCTTTCTGGGCTGGGATGACTTCAAGTAGACTGAAAAACAGGTCCATACCTGGTGAGTTTGCCACAGAGTCAAAATGACAATTAGCCAGAACAGCATGCTGGGCTCCATCTCTGGGTTCCAGCTTTACCACAACGTTGGTGATGTTGTCATAGTAGCTTGTAAAACCTCCCAAAAAGTCAATGCTAAAGGAGCCTGTGGGCCGTTGTACATCTACTGAAATCTTGTGAAGGCTGCTGCTTTGAACTTCAATCAGTTTAATCTGTTCCAAAAGGTAATGCACAGTCAGAATTTCATTTTCTGGACTTCCTGTAGTCCTGGGGCCAATGGATGTTATGTGTTCAAGATGATCCCTGGAAGTCACCAAAAGAATGATGATTAACACTTAGCACAGAACAACTTCTCCTCTACAATTCCCCTCACCCCGCAAAACATGTTCTTTCACTTCTCACATAAAAAAGGGGTACCTTTCTGGGGGAAACACTTGAAGTATATGATGTCTAATCACTATGCTGTATACCCAAAACCAAATCAAAAGAATATTGAATGTCGACAATTGAAAAAATAAATTTAAAAAAAACATAATTTTTATTAAAAAGGTTGCCTTTTATTATTTCAGGAACGTTCCATCATTTCATCTCCCACGAATGCATCCCTTCAGAGGTTTCTCTACCCACCCACTCCCAAATCCTCTCAATCCTCATACAAAGGCTAGAGATTCTATTCAAAATGTGTAAATGCTGAAGACGATACAGCACAGAGTGCAACTTCATTGTGCCATACTCTGGAGGGCTACTGATTCTGGGCTGGGGAAACCAGTGAGCAAAGACAATTAAGTCAAGAGGTTAAATAAACAAAACTTTTTTTATTGTAAGGAATGGACTCAGCCCTCCGATTGTGCACACAAGGCCTAATACCTTCAATTCAGGCCAAAACTAACTCTACTCCTAAAACACACAAACAAAAAAATGTTTTGTCTTTTCGCTGCATTCCAAGAGGGGAGAAAGGAGGAGGGAGAGGAGGGTGTTCCGTAAAGTCCTTAATAAGCTTCCAGCACATTGTATTCAAAAAAAAAAAAAAAAAGTTTTTAAAATCACAGTGGTTGTTGAAAACTCAGCTAGCTGAAGATTCTGAGCTGACACTTATGCTACAATACATTTGACTTAATCACCTTTCTAGCACACTTAATGGTGTCTTTTACTTTATTTTTTAAATATATTTTATTGATTTTTTACAGAGAGGAAGGGAGAGGGATAGAGTTAGAAACATCAGTGAGAGAGAAAAACATCGATCAGCTGCCTCCTGCACACTCCCTACTGGGGATGTGCCCGCAACCAAGGTACATGCCCTTGGCCGGAATCGAACCTGAGACCCTTTAGTCCGCAGGCCGACGCTCTATCCACTGAGCCAAACCGGTCAGGGCCTTAATGGTGTCTTTTAATTTAATTTAAAAAAAAAAAAAGTTAAACCTTACACACCAGGGACCCAAGGATAACCGCCGGGAATCTGAGAACTTCTGAAATTGTCAAAGTTTGAAGTGCAGTCTTCCAGGCTGCGCCTCCATAGCTTTCAGACGTGAGGACTGTGATCCTCAAAAAGTTGGACCACTGACTGCATGGTCCCCTTCCAACACCTCCCCAGGAACCGAATCTACAAAACCGGCTAGGAACACACATTTCACGCTCCTGCATCTCGTTTGGAACGCAGAGGGGTTCGTAAAAAGTGAAAGCTGCTCCAGAGGCTGAGGGACGGCTAGCCAGCAAACCGGCTGCAGGTGGGGCACACAGGGAGCGGCGTGCCGGCGGGCCCCCTCGGCCACCCCACCTGCACCACCAGCTTCGCAGGGCGATGC